GGTGACACGTCTTTACAATACTTAGTTAGTTGTTTATAAATTGTACACTGTTCAAGTATTAACGTTAACAACTAACTATTTTAAATTATAAAACGAAAATTACAATATAATACATATTACTTATAATATATTCCTTCTTGCCGTCAATTTTGATGGAATGGGTACACTAGTAACTAATATAAACATTAAACCCTACAAGAGTTAATTTCTAGAAATTTCATGAAATTAAATAAGGGGTGTGTCTGTGTGTTGGGGGTGGGGTAGCGGATATAAAAGAAAATATTTTCACTTGTATTTTTTTTTTAAAAACGAAACATTTCACAAATAATTTAATTTATTTGTGAATAAGTCCTGAAACTCTCATTAAAATTCGACAATTATTTGATTTTTGCAAGAATTTCCAAATCAATGTGTTTGTCACCGCAAAAACACGCTAAAATTCCCTATACAAATTTATGGTCACCAGCTGGCGCAAGAAAAAATTAACCAAGATTGTAAAGGTTATAAAAAGGATAAAAAAAAATATAATTCAGTAATTAAAAAATCCTTTGGTCTCTTCTCTTAATAATAGCATAAACTCTAAGTTTTTTTAAGTTTAGGGCCATTTTTTCATAATGTTTGCTCATTTTTAACGAATCTTTGTCTCTCTCTCTCTCTCTCTCTCTCTCTCTCTCTCTCTCCATATATATATATATATATATATATATATATATATTAATGCATGTTTCATTAAATAATATAGAGAAGCAAGGTCGGACTATCATTGTTGTTTCGTCCGTGTGTTGTTTGATATATTGAAATTGTAATCTTTGATAATGGCTTATGTAAGCCGAAAACTTAGACTGGATTTAAACATGTATCAATATGGTGATTTTCTTTCGTCTTTCAATGATAATTAAGCTTATTAGACAAAATGAAAGGAACCTACTTAAAATAAAGAGACAAAACTTGTCTATGCATTAATTTTGCTGCTTAATGAATATATATATATATATATATATAATCAATTCACCTGGAGCAAGGTGATAGTGCCACTTAGATGCAGGGGGCTACTGAGAGTGAAAGAGAATGAAACGGCTTTAGAAGGAATAAGAAACTCAATCTTAACTAGGAAACAAGCAATAAGCCTTTACTCCTGTTCAAAAGACCGAAGAGGTATGGGGACTGGGCGATAGATGAACCTCTCTACTCCTATATCCAGGACAGCTTTGGACCACTCAACCACGGAAACTTCCACAGCCAAACCGAATTAATCACCCTTTTAAAGAAATGGATCAATCGGAATCCATATCTATTAACTTTATTTTTCTATCCAAAAAGTAAACAAAGTAATTGCTGAGGAATTCTTCTTCTATGAGCCTTCAGGACATGTGCGATCGTGGCTCTCCACAATTTCCACTCCTTTTTTATTCTTAGTAAATTTGTTTGTTTTTTTTCTAACTCTCTTAAACCATTTACATAAGCTCTTTAGGTTAGTTACTTTTGTCCCTTTGCTTTTTAAACAATTTTAATTTATGTCTACCGGCCTGTGGATTCAAGGGTCTTAAATAAAGAAAATACGCCTTCCGGCAGTGTTCGAATCTGCATTCCTCTTACTGTGATACACACACACACACACACACACACACACACACACACACACACACACATATATATATATATATATATATATATATATATATATATATATAGATAGATAGATAGATAGATAGATAGATAGATAGAGAGAGAGAGAATGAGAGAGAGAGACATGAGAAGATGTCGATTGATATTACATTTAAATTTTTGAAACTTATAATTATCAGAAAAGCAAGTAAGAGGAAGAGAGTTCCACTGTCGGGAAGTGCGAGAAAAGAAGGTATTAGAGTCGAAGAGGTGGTTACATTTATCTGTTTAGACAGTAAAAGAGTGGGACCGAGATGCCAACCCAGTAGCACGCTTAAATAGCCCATCAGAGCAGTTGCCATGAAATATTTGTAGAAATGAAAGAGGAAAGCCACACCACGTCTTTGAGAAAGTGACTGGAGTCGAGATGTCAAGTCAGAACCGATCACATTGCATATCCGTCTTTGGATTTTTGTCGAGAACCAAGAGATGAACAGCGGGGACATCAGACCATATATGGCAACAGTATTCAATTTATGGACGAATGGTAGATTTGTGAATGTGAAAAATCTCGCCATCACTAGTGATCACTCCAAACACCTTCGTAATCATCGTTAGACTCATCAAAGTCTTTCCGAATCCACTGCATTAATATTTTATGTATGCCTTTATTCAGGGCCGAATTGCGACTTCCTTTTTTTCTTACAAACAATACGCATGAACAAAATTTAAAATGTTTTTTCACATCGCTCCTTGTACAGGCAACCAGTCTGGTAGCCACCCAAAACCTATATCTTTACCTAGCTATTTGCCTTAGCTATTTGCCTAAGGTACTATTCATATAAAATAACAAATTTTCAATCGAATGTAACCTAATTATGTACAATAACGTCACCGGGCAGCACTCATTTATCTTTTAAATATTTGGGTTTTTTCCCTATATTTAGATAAGTTATAAAGCAATTCAAAGAATAAAGAAAAATTTTTTGTTTTGTTTTTGTTTGTTTTTTTTCGTTCAAATTCAATAACATATTGGTGTCATGGTTAAATTATTCAATTTTCTAACAAGAGAAATCTTAAGGGCGATCATGTATAATACATGACTGGCTTTTTTTCCTGGACTGAGGAATCGGCCATCCAAGGCTATAGAGTTCCTGAATTTAGTTGAATAAAAGACATTACATTTAGTACAATTACGGAATTTGAACAGGACTATTTGGAAAAGAGTACGAATCCTGCTTAATACTAATACTCCACCGCCTGCTATGGTTTGGAAATAGCTGTACGGCATCTGGGGAATAAAGAAAATAAGATTGTCCAGTTTAAAAAAATGTCTTAGGTAGTAAATATTATTTCAATGACAGGCCGGGTTCTTGCTTTTTTAGCCGAATATTGATGGCAAATCCATGGTCTACCGCAGAAAGAAATGGCAACCTCTGAACGGCGGGAAAAAAGGTTACAAAGATTCTGCCATTTAATCAACATTCAGTTATGTATCAAAATATACATGATCGCCCAAGCGTAACTGACTGATCTTCATTTATATATATATATATATATATATATATATATATATATATATATATATATATAGATTTTTAGTGTGTTGCCATTTCTTTCTGCGGTAGACCAGCGCCATCCAAGTATGTGTGTGTGTGCAGTGTGTGTGTGTGTGTTCCAAATGTGTGTGTGTGTGTTTCTCCGATTCCTCAGTCCGAGCCACTTTCCTTTACTCTACCATGATTTCTACCAATTTTTCTAGTTCAATTGCTCTGTTATAATGAAACATTTCTTTACGTAAAATATTCTATAATTATAAAAACTAACTAGACTAACATAAATTCAAGGAAGCGAGTTCAATAAAATACTAAAAAGGATCAGAATATAAAAAACCAAGAAAACAAAATGTCTATATTATTCAAAACAACCCCAAACTTAATTATATATATATATATATATATATATATATATATATATATATATAATTCTGGTGAAGCCAAAGATATATATCCGTAGCAGGACAGGCCATTAATCCAGGTAGATCCTATTAATATAAAATATTAAAACAGATCCACAAAAAATCTGCTCAATATAATTTTTATTATACCGTATATATATAGTATATATTATAATTAATGAGATGTGTGTGTGTATTTTTTACCTACATACAGATGAAAATCATTTATAAAATCCATGGGCGAAAGAAAACTAGAAAGGATTTTCACTATATTTATCAATGGAAATACATTTTCTAAAAAATCTATATAATATAAAATAAAAACAGATCCACAAAAAAAAGTCAATTAATTTTATTATATAAGTCCATGGAAAATGAGATACTTTTCCATGGACAGATGATCATTTTATCCATGGGAAAGTAGTTTTTCACTGGATTTAAATCGTTTACATTTTCTCTATATAACTAAATGTAATTCACTGATAAGTCCATGGAAAAACTACTTTTCCATGGACGAAATGATCCTCTGTATATATCTCATATATATATATATATATATATATATATATATATATATATATATATATACTCGTTGATAATACCAATAATATCTCAGAAACATGGAAGAAAAGGCTAAAAATAAGAGAGTCATTGTTAATAAAAAAAAGGAAACGGCAACACTCAGTAATATCAACAATGAACACAGCCACAATGTGCTGACCGTGTTTGGAAGCTAAAAACATTCCTATAAATCTAGATACATACTTAAATCAATTCATACATTCAGTTAAAAGTAAAAATAAGTTCATCCTTGATAATGGCTAAAATTATAGCCGGAAGCGCTTGGATATATAAAATATTTGAACAATTTCTACATGATCTACATCAAGAAAAGATGTAAATTATAAGAACACAAGAAAAATTAAATAAAAAAAACTTAACCGTAGCACCTTGTCAGCCGTTTTTAATGAAACTTATATATATATATATATATATATATATATATATATATATATATATATATATATATATATATATATAGAACAATAGGAGAACTGTAGTAGTAGCCGACGCGTTTCGTCCAGTGTAGGCGTTTTTAAGGCAAAAAAATGAAATGAATTCCACATTAACGAAACGCGTCGGCTACTATTACAGTTTTCCTATTGTTTTTTACATTTATAAATATTGTCTTTTCCACAGGTTAACTCTGAAAATTTTTTCATATATATATATATATATATATATATATATATGTAAACATTTTTTACTTTCCTCTCCTCTGTGTAAATCAATATCTATCAACCTGCAGAGATATATAGATGGATAATCAATAGACTGGAAAGACAGATTTATAGAGATAATCAGCCGATTAGATAGATAGATAGATAGATAGATAGATACTTCCATTCAATTTTTTTTATTTTCAGTCAATTACCAAATGTATCTATCTATCTATCTATCTATCTATCTATCTATCTATCTATCTATCTATCTATCTTGTACAAATCTTGAATTTGTCAGAGAGTTTGCTGAAAAGTTCATGCCTCAACCAAGAATATCTTCCCAACAAAAAAAAAAGAAAGAAAAAATCTTTTGTTTATTCATTTGGTCACATTTGGTAAAGTGGGTCGAATACTTTTTCACAACCCTTTGCCTGAATAATCTCAGTTGATCGATATGCATATCTGCATCTATCTATCGATCTCTCTTTGTCTCCCAATAATATATTATTCCATATGCACGTGTGATTTTCCAATGAGTTCCTCCACACGCGTCACATGGACTGCCGCCATCAATAATTTCTCTCGTCTTAATCATGTGTTCGTTTTTTGTCTCCACAGCAAAAAGCCGAGATGACTCACATGGAGCTTAACTGCAGATCAACAACGTACATCAACACCGGCTTACAGTACAAGGGCGAAATTATCCCCACCTCTGCTGCGATCACGTTCTGTCGTACTTGTTATATTCAGAGAAATACCTATCTTGGTCTATTTTATCTATCTATCTATCTATCTATCTATCTATCTATCTATCTATCTATATCCATCTATCTATCTATCTAAGCCCGTCATTTCTTTCTTTCTTTTTTTCTTGCTTTCTTTCTTTCTTTCTTTCTTTCTTTCTTTCTTTCTTTCCCAGTCATTTACATCATCTATCGATCTCCGCTTCTATCTATCTATCTATCTATCTATCTATCTATCTATCTATCTATCTATCTATCTATTTAAGCCCGTCATTTCTTTCTTTCTTTCTTTCTTTCTTTCCCCCGGTCATTTGCATCATCTATTCATCTCCGCTTCATTTCTATCTATTCATCTATCTATCTATCTATCTATCTATCTATCTATCTATCTCTCTCTCTCTCTATATATATATATATATATATATATATATATATATATATATTTCTTTTTCTTTCTTTCTTTCTTTCTTTCTTTCTTTCTTTCTTTCTTTCTTTCTTTCTTTCTTTCTTTCCCAGTCATTTGCATCATCTATACATCTCCGCTTCTATCTATCTATCTATCTATCTATCTATCTATCTATCTATCTAGTCTGTTCTTATCTGTTAGTCTGTTCTTCACTCTCTCAAAATATGTGTGTGTGCGTGTAATAAGATAAGGAACCAATAGGAAACGTTTATCAATGTAAAATGTTTCACTTTTATTAATGCATCATCAGAAATTGAGAGACAACAGACAAAAAAAACAGAAACTTTGGTAGCTTCAATCTTGTTTAAATCGATTATCATAGTATTTAGTATAAGTAAATTATAATAAATATATACATATGTACACACACAAACACACATATATATATTTAGTATAATTTATTTATACTATATATATATATATATATATATATATATATATACATATATATATATATATCAGATAAAGAACCAATAGTAAACGTTTATCAATCTAACATGTTTCCCTTTTATTAAAGTTTCATCAGAGACTGAGAGAAAAGAGAACTGGCCAATGAGAATCGATGCAAACAAAATTGAAGCTACCAAAGCTTCTGTCTTTTTCTGTTTTCTCTTAATCTCTGACGAAGCTTTAATAAAAGGACAACATTTTACATAGATTGATAAACGTTTCCTATGTGTTCTTTCTCTTATCATCCTGTAGGATTGATTAAAAAGGGCCGACAACGTCTGTTTAATATTTTATTATATTTTTCCTAGTTTTCGGATAAGGTATTGAGTATTGTGCTCCAATTTGTGGATAAACCATTTGAAGTTCATATTATTTACCTCTGTTTAAGTACTTTCGACTTTTGCAGTCATTATCGAGAATCGATGTGGTGTGGCTGTAGTAGTTAGAATTGCTTTGTCTACATCCTGGTATTCTTTGGGAAGCTGGACGTTGGAAATAGTCTAGCGTGACGTCATGTGTAACGGCAATTGGGAACGATGAATGAGATTTATTTGTTTATTTTATTTATTTATGTATTATTTTTTATATTTTAATAAAAATATAATATGCACGCCCATTAATTATTATTCTGTTCTCATCTATCTATCTATCTATCTATCTATGTTTTTTTAAGAATTTCACTCGAAAGAAGTCAATAGAGTGACTAAGCCACAAGGAGTGTTAAAGAAAATGAGAAAAAGAACAACAGTTAATATGGGAAATAATAAAAGAACTGGAATTAAGACAGAAGATAACGATTGATATTGCATTTACAGGGTGCGATGGGTAAATTGTAAATTTTATATTTTTCATTTCGCGCATGCGCGTTATTTGTTTTTAATTTTGTCGACTGCACAGTATAGTAGGGTCAGTTGGGCACCTTCTGTAAGAAAAAATGAGCACCATGACGCAATTCACTCCGCCAGAAATTTGGAAACGACATGCTGTACTGCTTGGCATTTGCACCGGAAACTCCAATACTAACATTTCAGATTGTTTGTGTGCCAATCTGTGGAGAGTACAGAGTTAAAAGATATATCTAGTCTTTATGCCTCCATTCATCTTACCACAGGGTATCAGACTCAAGACAAAGGCCTACATCAAGTGGCTTGACGAAGTAGTGCTGCCCTGTGTCAAGAGGGTGGGTGTTAGAAAACTCTATGTCTGGCAATAGGACTCCGCACCAAGCCGCACAAGCAGGAAAACCCAGTCATGGCAGTCAGACCACATCACCCCTTACATCTGGCCACCTAACTCTCCAGACTGCAACCCTTTGATTATTATGTGTAAGGTGCAGTTGCACGAGAGGCCAACAACATTCCTTGTAATACCAAAGATGAACTGAATGGAAGCATTCACCAACTTTAAAAAGGACACCGTCTAGAAGAGTTGCAGGAGATTCCGATGTCGTCTGGAAGCCAATGGCGATTTTATTGAATAAGTTTACTCTTTAGTATTTCAAGATATTTTTGGGTAATTTTGGTAAATATATCTGTTAAAATGAGATGTCAATTTTATTTTCTCGTTATTTAGACGTCAATTTATGCATCGCACTCTTTATATTATTGAAGATCAAAGTTGACTGGAAAGCAAGGGTCTGGAATAGATTTCCACAAAGGAGAAGTGCGAAAGTAGAAACTGTTAGCATAGAACATGCAGCTGCATTTAGTCATTTCATTTATAAAAGGATAAGACCTAGTTGCCAATCGAGTACTGCGGTTAATTCGCCAAGTCGATGTGCGAAATAGGAAAGCTCAACAGAAGAATTAACATGAAAATATTAATAGAAAATCTATATTACGGCAGTGGGAACGTGACTGATGCTAAGCTGCCAGGTCAGGATTGATAACATTGCAGATTCTTTTTTGGAATTTATCAAGAAATTCTAATTAAATTGCAGAAGCAACCGATCGAATGTGTCATATGACTAGCACCTTTTCAATATATACAGTGAGGTGATCCTGTGAGAATTAGTAGGATTCATTATTGCGGCCACAATGAAAACGATACAGTGTTGTTGGAAAGGAAACTACAAGGAAATCGAGAGAAGATTGTGAAAGAAAGAAAGAAGAAAGGACTAAACATCAATTGCAAGAAGACTGAATATTTAATGAATGGACGAATAATAGACTTATAAATATGTTAGATAAATTCTGGAGAGAAAACTTATCTAACACAATACAGCGAACCCATTTTCCGATCAGCAGACCTTGTTCCAATATATATTTATGTATATGGATCTATTTCAATCTCTACATATTATCTATTTTAGTCTATCTATCTATCTATCTATCTATCTATCTATCTATCTATCTATCTATCTATGTCAGTCTGTTCGCATCTATCTATCTATCTATCTATCTATCTATCTATCTATCTATCTATGTTCGTATCTATCTATATTCGTATCTCTCTCTCTCCTATCTATCTATCTATCTATCTATCTATCTATCTATCTCAGTCAGTTCGCATTTATCTATCTATCTATCTATCTATCTATCTATCTATCTATATATATATATATATATATATATATATATATATATATATATATATATATATATATATATATATATATATATATATATATATATATATATATATATATATATATATATATATTTTCACTCTGTTTGTATATCTATGTATCTATCTCTCTGTCTATCTATTTCAGGTGTTATTTTTTTGACTTTGAATGATAATTTTAAGAAGCAGGCAGGCCAGCCGAAAGCAATTTGTATATTATGAATTCTACTTTAAAAACGGAAATGACGTCAAAAGGAAACATAATTATATGATCTATAAGAGAGAGAGATTAAGGAATCTGAAACTAATTAAACAACTAAAAAATCAAAAGAAAAAAACATGTCGGCTCGGGTATGGACAGACTACAAAATTAGACCCCCTACGTCTTTAAACTTGTATTTTGGAATGTTTACATACTCTAAAACTTGATAAAATGCAATAAATCAATATGCAGGTGGAGGATCTTTGCCTGTTGTCAACGTAAAAGGAGGCAATTTCCGCGGTAAACGATGTATGTAGTTCATTATATTTTGGTAACAGTTGCATAATATCAATATATGAGAGTAAATGCTGGGCAATCTCCTCACAGATGAAGGAGAGACTTGAAGCAACAGAAATGTATGGCAGTGAGTGCTGGACAATATCCCCAAAGATGAAGAAGAAACTTGAAGCAACAGAAATGTGGTTCTACAGCAGGATACTGAGGATACCATGGACCGAACATGGGAGCAACAACAAGGGTTTGGAGAAAATAGAAACTTACCAGGAAGAGACAGTCGAAATTTCTAGGGCACAGAACGAGAAAGACTGGCTTGGAAAATTCAAAACTCACAGGGAAGATTGCGGGCAAGAGGAACAGGTGGAAAACAACGCATGACATTCTTTTTTTTTTTTTTTTTTTTTTGTAAATGGATGGTGGAATAGGAATTAGGAGGAAAAAAATTAAGATCTACAAAGGATCGGCTCAGTCCTGTGTGTGTACACTGTATATGAAAAAGAATTTCTGTAGATATTTTTTTTAAATGCAGTTATATTACAATTTAAAATATGGATCTGTTAATATATTTTCGTCCTAAGCTAGTTTCGAATGTGTCATATCACTAGCACCTTTTCAATATATACAGTGAGGCGATCCTGTGAGAATTAATAGGATTCATTATTGCGGCCAATCAATGAAAAAACGATACAGTGTTGTTGGAAAGGAAACTACAAGGAAATCGAGAGAAGATTGTGAAAGAAAGAAAGAAGAAAGGACTAAACATCAATTGCAAGAAGACTGAATGCATGGTTCTTAGCAAAAAGTCACACACCAACATACATATTATAAATTTGGATACCAATATCAAACAATATTTAAATATCTGGGGAGCATTTTAACATATGACGGAAAGAGTGACACTGATATCCAAAGGCGCATTGGGATAGGGAAAGATGCCTTCCAAAAGCTAAGAAAAGTAATAAGAAACAGAAAAAAATATCGTTAGAAACAAAGAAAAGTGTGCTGAACTGTTATGTAATATCAGTCCTCTTAAATGGCATTTTATGCTGGACAATCTCCTCACAGAGGAAGAAAAGATTTGAAGCTACAGAAATGTGGTCCTTCAGAAGGATGCTGAGGATACCATGGACCGAACATGTGAGCAACGACGAAGTTTTAGAGATAATGATAACAAAAAGAGCACTTATACTTAATTTTAGGATGTGACTGTTGAAATCTCTGGGATATATAATAATGAAATGAGGGCTTGGAAAATTTGATACTCACGGGACAGATTGAAGTTAAGAGGTAGAGAGATCAGTCCTCTTATATGGTATTTTATGCTAGACAATCTCCTCACAGAGGAAGAAGAGATCTGAAGCTACAGAAATGTCGTTCTTCAGAAGGATGCTGAGGATAACATGGGCCGAAAATGTGAGCAACGACGAAGTTCTAGAGATAATGGTAACAAAAAGGGAACTTATACTTTAACATCATGGTGAAAGTTGAAACTTCTAGAGCACATAATGAAGAAAGTGGGTTTGGAAAGTCTGATACTCACAAGGCAGATTGAAGATAAGAGGGACAGAGGAAAACAAGGTATATCCTACCTAGCGAGCTTGTGTAAATGCATGGCGGAACATAGTTTAGGAAAAATTTGACAAAATTTACTAAGAGCCACGAAGACAGATAAATTTCAACCAGCAGAAGTACTGGCTGCTCGGTCAATGGATTTGAAATGTTTCCATATAAGGAAATGGTAAACATTAGGGGAAATGTTAAACAAACTTCCAGTTACAAGGCCACAATTTCTGAATTAGGATTATTATTAGGAGACTTTCTATATTATTTCATATATAAATAAAACTTGTCTATATTTCTGAAATTAGGTGTTATGTACTCTATTTAAATTATTCGGACTATTGTGTTCTTTTTTATTGACACATTTATCTCAACGTTTCGGTCGTTGTACGCTCCGGCCTTCTTCAGGTGGTTGGAATCTCGGACTGAACCCTTTATTTCGCTCACTGGGGTAGAGTATTCTAGTTCCACGTGCCATGTCTAATGGATGTCAGTTATCTCCTGTTAATTCCCCTCTCAAAGTTCTCCACCGCCTTAACCGGGTATTGAACTCACACTATTTGAGTCCTGAAACAACGTCACTGGAACTAACCAACGCCTTTATCCACTGTGCCATGGGCACAATGGATAAAGGCGTTGGTTAGGCCTCAGTGACAGAGACAAATAGTGTGAGTTTCAATACCCGGTTAAGGTAGTGGAGAACTTTCAGAAAAATTAGCAGGGGATAACAATAACTGACATCCATCAAACATGGCACGTGGAACTACAACAGTCTACCCCAGTGAACGAAATAAAGGGTTCAGTTCGAAATTCCAACCACCTGAAGAAGGCCGGAGCGTACAACGGCCGAAACGTTGTAATAAATATGGCGACAAAGATGAGGACAATAGTCCGAATAATGTAAATAATGTACATAATACCTTATCTCAGAAATATAGACAGACTTAGATGCCATTTTGGCTCTTATTTGCACCATGAGAAAACCTGGAGTATATAACACCATGATACAACGTCTAGATGACGGCTTTCAATGTTACTGATTCAGACAATGCAGAGATTGCGTGCCGTTGTTGTTTTGTGTCAACAAGCCTGGAACACATATGTTAAAACCGATTATAATTGGCAAATCGCGTCGCTCTATTCCATGCACCCTGACAACACGCACGGCGAGCAATGCTTATCTCTGTCGATCGTTTGCGCCAGACAAAGCTACAACACGCAATCTTCTTTTGTTTGACATCTGACCTACTCCTCTGTCAACGGTCAACTGATAAGCCGTGACGCAAAGAGTCGAGCTACTTACATCGCCAAGAATATTAGATCCTAGATGGGCCCCGTAGATCAGACGATCATCTCTGTGTTCAGGCGAATTTCCTTGGGTGGATTAATTTGTGTGGCTGCAGACGACTCAACAACGTATGAAACCTGTTTAAAAAGTCTAGACGTGAAGTAAATTGGTCGCTTTAAATCTGGACAATAGTCAGTTCTTCAGGATAATGTCGGGTGGACTGTTTGCAGTCAGACTTTTCATCACGCTAATCTCTTGCGTCTTATGTAAATGGTTGGCAGAACAGGGATTAGAAGAGATAGCGAAAAGAGAAAAATTACTAAGAGCTACAAAGGACAGGAAAATAGGGAGAGCCATGATCGCTCACGCCCTGAAGGGATACGGCATACTTAATAATAATAATAATAAGCGTAAACTACTGAACAAGTTTGTGTAAATGCATGGCAGAAAACGGAATGAGAGGAATAGTAAAAAGACAGACATTGCTTAGAACTGTAAAGGAAGTATTGAAGAGTCATGATCGCCCATATTCTGAAGTAAGACAAAAACATTGAAAAGGTGTCAGGGATGGTTTCAGTGTCACGTCATCATTAATGTCTACGTTTTGGCCCAGTGACGACATTACCGATGTCTAACATACTATTAATTTACAGCTATATCACGTTGAAATTCCGGTTCCCGTACGATTACCGAAGTTAAGAAACGTCGATCCTGGTCAGTAGCTTGACCGGTGACAGCTTGGGAATACCAAGCGCTGTAAGCTTGGATGTGCGGGTGGTGTAATGGATAAATGCTCGAAATTGTTAATCGGAGAGCGGAGTTCCAATGCCGGTTAGTTTCATTATATTCACTTACGTGCAAATACCCTTGGGATGATATGAATCCATCTCTTCTCCCCCAGCTATGGGTTGATTAGTAAAGCTTGTACCTCTAAATCATTATTATCTCCAAAAATAATACTTACAATCTAAAAATATTTTCTTGCTTTAAATAACCTGCAAAGGGTTGATAAGTCGTAGAAAACGAATCAATCAATGAAATACTGATTAGCTATACAGGCATGTCTTTTAGCATGTCTTTTAAATGGAACAAATACCGTAACCATAAAGTGATGGATCAGTTTATATATTGATTGTTATATAGAATTGATACCCCACTTTAACATTTCTTGTCTGTTTATCAAATTCTGATGAGGTATGAATCCACCTCTTCTCCACCCAGCTATGGGTTAATTAGTATAACTTAATACTATCTCACCGCCCCCACCTCCGAAAAATAATTCTTACAATATAAAAAATATTTTCTGGCTTTAAATAACCTACAAAGTGTTGATAAGCCGTAGAAAACGAATCAATCGATTGTTAAGCATTGATTTTGTTTGGTTTGGTTTGTTTTACGGCATATCAACCTCAATGGGTTAATTAATGCCGACAAGATTCTTATTGCTGGGAATATTTTTTATTGATGGTAATATGTTTTTTTCAAAAAGTATTGTTGGTAATATTTTTTTAAAAAAATATATTGCTGGGAATAATTTTTTAGAAACACTATTGTATATTCATATGGTCAGCTAAAAAATTACCTCAATTACTTTGAAAACGGTTGAATACGTCCAAACAACAATACAATTTCTACTTGTGAAAATATTCTCTTCAAACAAAGTAAATGACATAATTTTTCAGTTGACGATATGAATATAAAATAGCGTTTCTAAACTCTTCTAGTTGCTAACGACATTTTGTTTGTTGTTTATAGACTTTGTTTCAATAAATTCATTTCATTTTTTGCCTTGAAAAATTCCACATTAGACGAAACGCCTAGGCTAAATCTACATTTTACCTATTATCTTTTTTTCTTTACACACACACACACACACACACACACACACACATAGCGTATATAGCATGTTCTCATTAAGGTATGTCTGACTGAATAATTTAGACAAGTGTTGCCTATTTATTTTCAATAATTCACTCGAAAGGAAAACCTCGAGAGTGCAGCCATTGAATATTATCCAAATATTAATCTACGCCCAGGTCCCCCCCCCCCCTAACAGAATTATTATTCTCCCAAGCCAATGTACACAACAAATATATCAAGAAATCAAAAGAAAACGGTTGAATCCGTCAGTACAACAATACAAACAATATTTCTACTTGCGAAAATATTCTCTTCAAACAATTGTCTTTTTCCGTAATACATATTGTCTTTTTCTACAGATTAATTCTGACGAAGTTTTACATAAGTATGCGAACATAGTCTAGGTTCTATCCAGCTATTAAAACATAAAAAAATGCCGCTGTTTGAGTCGTTATTTTTTTAAAAACTATAATCATAAAGAATTCCCAAGTCTTTGTTTAATCCTAGATTGTGGGTATTAACTTTGTGAAAATTGCTTCGGATGTTCCGACGATTGTCCTGTGAATTAAAAGAAGAGGCTAAAATGACGTATCGAATATTGTCTATACTGTGATAAAGGAAATTCAAATTCTCTGCTATAATAAAAGAATTGGAATTGTCGCTATTTTATGAAATTATTATTGAAGAAGAAGCTTAATAAAAAAAAGAAGAAACCAACTCTTAATAATATCAAATATGAACACCGTCACAATAAACTGACTGTGTTCGGGAATTAAAACATTTATACTGGTCTAAAAAAATATCAACATATTTAGGCAAAAACATCTTTGATAATGGCTACAGCATTAGCCAAAAGTGCTCGGATCAAAATATCTTTCGGGTAGACCTAACACACTTTATGTCCAAAAAGGAAATATCATGTACTACAGCAAAGAGAAAATGTAATAAAAGTTTAATCTCAATAATTTTTCTTTTTGTCTGTATTGGTAAAGGGAAGGATCTAACAACAGCTGAAAAAGATACTGAGTGATGGAATGTCCACATTGGATATATCAAAGGAGTTTTGCAGAGATCATCGGACAATAAAGGAGGCTGTTTAAAGAGAATTCAAAACAAAGGAAAAAGCTTTAAGAACTTGCTTCCTCGAGATGAACGTAAACTAAAGCGAGTTTGAGCGAGAAAACCCCTTTTAATCCTTGAAAAGGCTGGAACTGAGGGAATCAAGAATGACAAAAGGTGTAGAATAATTTGTTAATTGGGATCTGTAAAAAAAATCTCCAAGGTAACCTCCTCTTACCAAAGCAAATATTTTAAAGCATCAAAATTGGACCAAGAAATACATAAAAATTGACTTTTCTACAGTAAGTTTTGCGAACATTTTCTCAAGTGAAATAGATGGGCCAAAGGTCGATTTTAACCAATTCAGACGTGCATGTGGCCCAAAGAAAGCAACAAGGAAGGGGTATGTGCTGTAATTGTCGGCCCAACCATTATTGGACCATTCAAAGTCGATGAAGCAATTAAACTGAACAGTGCTATTGTGATTTTATTGACAAGACTTTCTTTCCATGATACAAGTCCTGGTCTCACAGTTTCAAAGTGATATGCACGACAATGTCTTTTCTCGTGTATCTAAGCTTACCCGTGGATTCTTTGAGCATAAAAGATTTACAGGAGATAAGATTTTGTAATGGCCACCACCAAGTCCTGATATGAATCCGATCAAAAGTCTATAGTCAATTATGAAAATGAAATTATATGAAAGAGGCGAACAATATAACAGCAAAGCAAACTGATGAGAAGAAATTAAAACTACCATGTCGGAAATTGAACCTGCTGAAGTAAAAGAAAAATTAACAAAACCAATGGATAATCGATTATTGAAAGAAGTGTTACTATATTAAAATGTAAAGGGTTCAAAAGCTTATGTGTTTGTTATTTGTTTTATTATAGGTATTTCTCAATTTTTATGATTTTATTATCTTTTTATTGAAGTAAAATTTAGTTTTACATAACTTCTGATGACAGTTATTTAGAATACATCAAATAACTTCAATAACTTGAATAAAACATATTGATAATACCTAAAATTTTAACTCAAGCTTTATTTCGACATTTAAATTGATTGTTTAAAAGTTGACCATTTTTTTCAAGCCAAATTTGAATATTGAAGTTTAGATGATTTGCTTAATAACTTCAGACAGGGTGTATATGTGTGTGTGTGTGCCTCTGTGAGTGTGTGCCTGTGTGCATATATGTGTGGCACGTGTGTGTATATGTTTTTGTGAGCCTGTGTATATATGTGTGTGTGCGCCTGTGTGTATTTGTGTATGCATGCGTGTGTGTATATGTGTGTGTGCGCCTGTGTATATTTGTGTACGTATGCGTGTGTGTATATGCTTGTGTGCGCTTGTGTATATTTGTGTGTGTATGCGTGTGTGCGCTTGTGTATATTTGTGTGTGCATGCGTGTGTGGCAATAACTTTCTTTCATGAAATGTCATCTAAAAATGAGGTGTCTTATTTTAATACAAATGAATTAAAAAAAATTTTTAGGCGTTTTTTTTTTTACTGATAAGGAAATTAAAACCTCTTTTGTTGCTTTTAAAAGTACATCGCTTTGTTCATCAATTCAATGTAAATAACACATTTAAGGGCTATATATAGTCAAGCATCAAGAAATTGAGTTATTTTTAGCTTTTTTCTGACAATTCGATCACTGCAAACATTGCTCAAGCCATTTTTCACTGTCATTTGTTCAGGGAGCCATGAAGTCACTATTAGTTCGTTAATTGTTTTTTGTTTCGTAAAGGAGGAAATGAAACAACGTCTATTTTGTTTTTACTATTTAGAACATTCCGTTAGACTCTATACCGTGATAGATTAAACTCATTAACACAAAACTAAAACAGTAATCGAAGCGTGTTCTTAAATAGACTCGTCAGATTGAGTCTTTCAGATATAGTCTATGTTTCTTAATGAAAGTCAAATCAGCTTTCTTTTCAGCAAATGAAAAGATTTCTTGTAAGTAATAAATAGCACATCCAATATGATCTTTATTGGTTACATACATTATCACTTTTTTGTTAGTGGCGGAGAGGTTGTAATTTGTAAGAGATACTCTCCTAGCCAAGCATCTTACAGACCCACGCGTTTGCTACAAAGCAAAAAATTTTCACTCAAGAATTTTGGAGTAAGGATTGTGCCAGGAAACCGAAAATGGAGCACTGTTGTCATATCCAGGCGGGATCTACCCAGCCCTCATTTTCTAATCTTGATTTCAAAAGAGTCTTTGAATCCTTGCTGGAGAAGAATTATTTTCTACTCTCCTCTCTCTCTCTCTCTCTCTCTCTCTCTCTCTCTCTCTCTCTCTCGCCAGGTCTAGCCTTCATGGCAAAGGACCCGCCATGATTCTTACATAGTAGCAAACCGCCCACATTCCTTCTGTATTCCATTTGCGAAAGCAGACCCATGGGCAGCTATTAAAACCACCATGTCAGAAATTGAACCTGTTGAATTAAAAAAAAAACATAACAAGATCAATGGATAATAAATAACTGGCTGTTATTGAGAAGAAGGGTTACTATATTAAAATCAAAAGGTTTCAAAAACTTATCATATGTATTTGTTATTTGTTCTATTATAAGTGTTGATCACATTTCAATTATTTTATTACCTTTTTATTGAAGCAATATCTGGAAGGACGTCTTTTCAAATCTCTCTCTGTCTTTATTTCTCTGTCACTCTCTTTATTTTCTCTCCCTCTCATATATATATATATATATGTGTGTGTGTGTGTGTGTGCGTACGCATATATCTCTCTGTCTGTTCATATCTATATATCTATGTGACAATGACAAAGTTTGTGTTTTATAAAGAACCGTCGACTAGGGTATTTCTAGAACATAATGCTAGTTAAGGTAGACAGTCTTTGCGATTGGATGGAATTTATGTAAAAGTGGATGTAATCTCTCTTCGGAAATCAGAAAACGGACAGATAAGTAAACATTTATTTGTTAGTACCTCTGTCTCTCTCTGTTTCTCTCTCTCTCTCTCTCTCTCTCTCTCTCTCTCTGTCTCTCTCTCTGTATGTCTGTCTCTCTCTCTCTTTCTCTCTCTATATATATATATATATAGATAGATAGATATATACCAATCTTTTCAAATCTATTCATATACAGCCTGCCTGAAGTTATCATGCCAATCAAATAAATATCAATATCTAAAAAATTTTGAATCAATATTTGTCAAATTTTAACTCGTCCATTTCCACCCTTAGTAAAATATTTTATTAAATTTTCTGCCATTTTTAATGGTTCGTTTTTGAGATATTTGGAATTTACAAAAATGGACTGACTGAAGTTATTATGCAGATTAAACTAAAATTAGCTTAAGGCCTATGAAATTAAATAAAACCTACTTTTTCTTTTTGTGTATATGAGTGAAGGGAAGGATCTAACAACAGCTGAAAACAGAAATTAACAAAGATTCTGAGTAAGGGAATGTCCACATTGGATATATCAAAGGAGTTTTGCAGAGAACATCGAGCAATAAAGGAGGCTGTTGAAAATATAAGTTGAGAATTCGAAGAAAAGAAAAAGGCTTTATGAACTTGCTTCTTCAAGATCACGTCAACTAAAGCGAAACAACCAATTTTGATCTTTAAAAAGGATGGAATTGAGGGAATAGAATACTTTGTGAATTGTAATCTATAAAAAAAATCTCCCAGGCAATTTCCTCTCACCAAAGCAAATATTTTAAAGCGTCAAAATTGGGCCAAGAAATACATGAAAATTGACTTAATGAAGTAATTTTCACGGATATTTTCTCGAGTGACATTTGATGGACCTGATGGATATCCAATTCAGATGTGGTTAGAAGAAAGCAACAAGGAGGTGGTAGTGCTATGATATGTGCTGGAATTGTTGACCAAACTATTATTGGGCCATTCAAAGTCGATGAATCTGTTAAACTGAACAGCACTATCTACTGCGATTTTAAGAACAAGAATTCCTTTGCATGGAACAAGTCCCAGTCTCGCAGATTCAAAGAGAAGTGTGTATTTATTCACGAAAATGCTGTTTCTCATGTATCTAAGCTTACCGGTGAATTCTTTGAGTATAAAAGATTTACAGGAGAGAAGATAATTGAATGGCTACCATCAAGTCCTGATCTGAATCCGATTTAAAATCTATGGTCAATTGTGAAGATGAAATTATATGAAGGTGGCAAACAATATAACAGCAAAGCAGACCTATGGGAAGCAAATAAAACTAACATGTCGGAAATTGAGCCTGCTGAATTAAAAAAATTAGCAAAATCAGTGGATTACTGATTGTTACTAAGAAGAAGAGTCACTATATTAAAATGTAAAGTTTTCAAAAACTTATCATATGTGTTTGTTATTTGTTCTATTATAAGTGTTGATGAATTTTCAATGATTTTATTACCTTTTTATTGAAGTAAATTGTGATTATTTGGTTTTACATAATAACTTCAGGCGGCAGAATACGTCAAATCATCAAATAACTTCAATAATTTCAATAAAACATTGACATTAACTAAAATTTTATCTCAGGCTTTGCTTTGACATCTAAATTGATTGTTTAAAATTTGACAAATTTTTTTCAGATTAAATTTGAATTATTGAAGTTTATATGATTTGCTTAAATCTTCAGACAGGGTGCATAATTTAAATGAATGGCAAAATAGTTGACAAAAATTCAAAACTCTGTTTCAACTGGGAAACAGGCTCGAGCTCTTGAAAAGAAATGTTTATTTGTTAATGTTTCTGAAGACGATACGAATAAACATTGAAATATTAACGAAGGTACGCCGGGTAAAATGTCTTACTTGCGAACAGATTATTTTCCGTATCATATTTAAGTTAGAATAATGTTTGACATCATGTCGTGTAAGTTCAGTTTGATTTGGCGAGTAATACGTCAGTAAGAGTCAGTAAAGAACTTACACATACACACACAAATACACAATCATACACACACATATTGGATAGATTAATAAATATTTTATTATTATTACAGTTAACTTACATTGATCATATATCACATCTTTTTAATCTTTTGTATATAAAACAATTGCATATATATATATATATATATATATATATATATATATATATATATATATATATATATATATATATAGATAGATAGATAGATAGATATAAAACATTTCTCAGACTTGACCTGTAGAAAAAGACAATATTTATAAATGTAAAAGACAATAGGAAAACTGTAATAGTAGCCGACACGTTTCGTCTAGTGTGGATTTTTCAAGGAAAAAACGAAATGAAGTTATTATACAAAGTAACTAATAATAATAATAATAATTGCTAAGGACATTTTGTGTTGTTATTATTAGTTACTTTGTTTAATAAATTCATTTCGTTTTTTCCTTGAAAAAAATCCACATTGGACGAAACGTGTCGGTTATTATTGTTTATTCGAAAAGTATAACATTAATATGTTATAAAATCACTACAAAAATAGCCATTTTGTTTCATCACTTCTGGTGTTTTATCAAGTGATGGTGTTGATTCAACACCATCATTTAAAAAAAAACATCATTCACGCCTCCAGTAATGGTACCAAAATTCATAATCTGGATTCCATCATCAAAGACCAATTAAGGACTCTCAAGAGAACAATAAATAAATTTTAAAAGGCGGGAACAATAGAGAGAAAAAATATATCAGGAGGTCACAGCAGCAAGATGAATCATCATTTCAAATGAGAGCTAAATACATTCCTATTGTTCAAAGTAGAGTCTAATAGTTTTATAAACACCTCGAAGAATTGCAGTAAGATATCTTTAATCATTTCTAAGATACAACGGTTCAAAACATAATCTAACAATTGGATAATTTTGCGGTATATATATATATATATATATATATATATATATATATATATATATATACGTATGTCAAGTTATCTATCAAACAAGAAGACCATCGCCAATAAAATCTGATGTCTGTTTATTAAAATATAGATTTTGCTATACTGCTGGCTGAGTCCAGTTGAGTATTTTTCTGTACCGTTAACACACACAGGCATATACACAAATATATATATATATATATATATATATATATATATATATATATATATATATATATATATATATGTATGTGTGTGTGTGTGTGTGTATATATATGGATGACGAATAATATTTTTATATATATTTAATTTTTTTTTTATAGATGCGATGTAGGAAATATACAATTTTTGACAATTGTCCATGCTGGATTTTGAATACAAGATTTTGGATTAGGCTAAATTCAGCAGCCGTTAACAGTCTCAGTGTAAAAAGAAAAACCGAAATCTTTAGCCACGATATCCGATAAAGATCTTTATTGCCTTTTTATCTGATAACGCGGCCAAAGAATTGGTGCGTTTTCAACTTTTAAATTGAATTCTCCCTTTAAAGTATAAGAGACTATGTGTGTAAAACCAGATATAATAAAATAAATTATATACCTGACTTGGTTCCTTTTCAAAGAACAGTGTCTTTGAAAAGAAAGGAAAGAATTGATGATGAAAAAGAAGAAGAAGAAGAAAAAGAAGAAAAAGAAAAAGAAAAAAAAAGAAAAAGAAAAAAAAGGAAAAGAAAAAAAAGAAAAAGAAAAAGAAGAAGAAAAAGAAGAAGAAGAAGAAGAAAAGGAACAACAAGAAAACCGAAAGGACGTGTAAGAAGATGGAGAATTAGAGGAGGAAAGCAAAGGAGAAGAGAACGAATAGTGCAACATAAGAAAGGAGAATAGAGTGAAGAGGATAGACGAGAAAGAGAAGATAACAAAAGAAGAGAAGGAAGAAGATGGTGGTATAGGGGTGCTTAACAAAGGAGAAGAGAGTTAAGAAGAGGGAGATAATAAAGAGGAAAAGAAAGAAAAGTTGCAGGAGTAGAGGAGCATAACAAAAGAAGAGCATGAAGAAGACGAAGGAGAAGAGAGTAAACAAAAGAAGAGAAGGAATAAGGGTTAATGTGAACGGGAGCATAACAGAGAAGAAGAGAAAGAAGAAGATGAAGGTGTAGGCTAGCATCACAAAGAAGAAGAGAAAGAAGAAGATGGAGAAGAAGAGTGACATAATGAAGAGGAAAAGAAGGAAGAATATATAGATGGAGGTGAGTATAACAAAAAAGAAGAGAACAAAGAATATGAAGATGTAGGAGAGCATGAAAAGAGGAGAAAAGAAGAAAAAAAAATGGAAGGGATGAGAAAGAAACGAGAAGAGTATGAAGTTAAGGAGCTGAGCAAAGAAGAAAAGGAAAAAAAGATGGAGAAGGAAGGAGTATAACAAAAGAGAAAAGGAAAAATACGCAGGAGTTGGGAGTATAATATAGAAGAAGAAAGTGAAGATGGAGAAGAATGGGAAGAAGAGAGTAATGAATATGGAGGAGGAAGGAAGCTTAACAAAAGAGAAGAGGGTGAAGAAGACATAGATGAAGAGAGCATACAAAAAAAAGAAGGATAAGATGGAGGTGGGAGGAGCATAACGAAGGAAAGCAGGAAGAAGATGGAGGATAAGAGAGTATAATAAAAGAGAAGAGAGTGAAAAAGGTGGAGGTGTTGAGGAGTATAACAAAGTAGAAGAGAAGGGAATAGATGGAGGAGTAGGGAGCATAATAAAGAAGAAGAGAGTGAAAAAGATGAAGGAGTAGGGAATGAAGAATCTGAAAGTGTAGGAAAGCCTAACAAAGGAGAAAGGAAGGAAAATGATGGCGGATAAGAGAGTGTAACAAAGGAGAAGAAGGTAGAGGAGGTGAGTAACATAACAAAGCAGAAGAGAGTGAAGAAGAAGAAGAAGAAGAAGAAGAAGAAGAAGAAGAAGAAGAAGAAGAAGAAGAAGAAGAATCTTTAAGTGTATGTAGATTGAAATAAAATTTGGTAGAAGAAGAAGAAGAAGAAGAAGAAGTAAATGAAGAAGAACAATAAGTAGATGATGATGATGATGATGATGAAGAAGAATAAGATTAAGATGATGATGATGATGATGATGATGATGCTGATGATGGCGAAGAAGAAGTAGATGAAGAAAAAGAAGAAGTAAATAATGACGAAGAACAAAAAGTAGATGATGATGATGATGAAGAAGAAGAAGATTATGATAATGATGATGATGAAGAAATAGATGATGGTGAAGAAGAGGTAAATGAAGAAAATGATGATGAAGACAAGAAGAAGTAAATGAAGATGATTATGAAGAAGAAGAAGAAGAAGTAAATGAAGAAAAAGAGGAAGAACAAGATGAAGAAGAGAAGAAAATGAAGAAGATGAAGAAGTAAATGATGAATATGAAGAACAAGAAGAAGTCAATGAAGAACAAGAAGTCAATGAAGAAGAAGAAGATGAAGAAAAAGTCGAAGATGATAAAGTAGAATAAGATGAAAATGAAAAAGTAATGAAGAAGTATTAAATGAAGAAGAAGAAGAAGAAGGAGAAGAAGAAAAAGAAGTAAATGAAGAAAAAGAAGAGGAAAGAGAAGAATTTGAAATTGATACAGAGGACAGTCTGTATCGATTTTATGCGTTCGATTAACAATAATGAATGTTGGACGAAATGAGATGCAAACATGATTTGATAATTACGCTAATTAAAAATTGATTTTACATATATGAACTATTTTTTAAATGCTAAAAAATGGAAAGTAACAAAACTTAAAATAATTACAAAACACATTTTATTCCAATTAATTAAAAGATACGTTGGTACGAATTATTAGATTTTGCTAATTAAATATCAGAGAATTTTTTCTTCTTTTTTTTTTTTACCTGACCTTATACTGTAAAGAATTCTTCTTTAAATTTTCAACTACATTAATAATGTCGTCCTATAAACGTATTGGTTTTGTTAGCAGAAAGAAAACACAATTTTCTGTCTTTCCAACAGAGCTACTGACAATGCTAACATCACGTGATCTAACTTGTCTTATTTCCGGAACAACGATATATTAAATTAGAAGTAGCTTGCATCGGGCTTTTCTGTAAATTGTTTTATGTATTTAAGAATGGAAATTAATCTATTGTTCTCTTTTTAATATTTGTTTTTTATTTTTTTACTTTATTTTATTTTATTTTAATTTTTGTATCTTAAAAAGACGATCAAAGTTGCCAAATTAAAAATAGTCAGTCGAGGTATTGAGTAACTGAATACATACTTATATATTTATAATTTAATATTCAGAATAAAAAAAAACAAATTTTGCTAGTCGACAAATAATTAATATAAAATTAATATAAAAGTAAGTGAGTTAAATGTAGTAAATTTGCTTAGAAAGAATATAACAATAGGTATGACTGGGTGCGAAAGGTTATCTACTAAGAATTGTGCAATAAGTTTGCCTATAAGTATAAAGTTGAAGTTGAGGAGAAATGGCACTGCCACCTACCAGAGAAGGTGACCGAAAACGACGAAATCATGACTTTGCTTGATTTCAACTTGCAAAGAGACTGCTATCTTGAGGCCACCAAACCAGATATCACCTTTGTTGATAAAAACAAACAAACAAGAAAATACCTTTCCATTGATGTAGCCCAGAGACCGTATTATCGGTGTCTTTTGAAGCTTAAAATATACACCGTTTTCCAGTTACGAGACGTTAAAGCCACTATTAACTTACTTATCATTGAGGCGTTGGGGAAGAGCCCTAGGTTAAATAAATCGGAATACAACTTTGTATCCCACAGTTTCAGAGGTCTGCGTTTATTGGCATTGCAAATATTTTGGGAATGGTACTCTCTGTCTGAGAATGTACGACTCAATGGGGGAACGCCAACAAGGCAAGATCTTTGATTGAAAACGTATACGATAACAGGGTAGGAAGTCATACATTGATAACTGTTCAAGCGAATTAAGTTCAACCATGTAAACAAACATTGCAAGCCCGCGAAGACTGTCATAGAAAGCAAAGAGAATAAAATTTTCTCGGCGAGAGTACCGCATCCAGACCAATAAGCGTCGTAAACAACAAATTCTGCCACATCCTACACGTGGCATTGGCAGCGAGGCGTAGCTTGAAAAATGAGAAAAAGCGAAAAATTAGGAAAATACAAAGATCGAAATTCGAAGATTCAGAAATTTGACGAAAGTCTAAGACAGTAATATGCAATTAAAATTTGAAGAAATTTGAGTTTAAAGCGAAAATCCACAGGCATATGGGAAGATTATGAAAATGCACGAAATAATTATAATAGTAATTATTATTGCTGTTTGTGTGTTACGTTTCCTGATATGTATCCTGTACAACCGGGCTCAAACTATGGTCCTTAGACCCTATAGGAGTATTGTCATTTAATTGATAGCACTTTTCTTAGTATATGGGATGTTCTTAGTAGAGCGATCTTTCTGGGCAACTTGTATGTTGATATTACCTGGGACACTATTAGTAAAATTGTCCATTCCTTTTCTCACGAGGCCCAGTGCTCCGATTACTATTGGTACAGTCTCAGTCTTCATTCCCCACATCCTGTTAATGTCGATGTCCAGTTCCTTGTATTTGGACAATTTCTCGATAATTCTTATGGATGTGTTTCTCTCAGATGGTACTGTTATGTCAATAGGCATACACTTCTTGGATTTCTTGTCTTCTTCTTCTTCTTCTTCTTCTTCTTCTTCTTCTTATTATTATTATTATTATTATTATTATTATCTTTGATTTCTGGCGTTTACACATTTCTTTCCGGGTCCCGCTCAGGGACCTAAGGTGAGAAATGGCATCATGACACTTTCTACTGACAAAAAAACAAAAACATTAATAGATAAAGACCTTCGTAAAGTGTGGGCTACACTTGTCAGAACAATTTTTTGTATCTCTTTGAGGCATGGACTTCTAGGAATTCCTTCAATTAGTGTACTGGAATCATTTCCAACTAATCCTAGGGCTCCAACTACAACAGGGATTGTTGATGTTCCCATGTGCCACATTTTTGAGATTTCGATTTCTAGTTTCTAGTTTCTATTTCTATTATTATTATTATTATTATTGTTGTTGTTGTTTGGGCGTTATGTTTCCTGCTTTGTATCCTGTAGAGCCGGTTCCAAACTATGGTCCTTAAGCACTATACCAGAATTCCTGGTTTTCTTGTCTTTTATGATAATTTATGAAAATTTATTATTATTATTATTATTATTATTATTTTTATTTTATTTCCTTTGATTTCTGCTGTGTACACATTTTTTTTCGAGTCCTGCCTAGAGACCTAAGGTTAGAAATGACATTTTCCACTGACACACACACAAAAATTTATTATTATTATTATTATTATTATCTCTTTTAGTGTGGTTTTTCGTTTTCAAACGGAGATATTGCATTATATATGCATTATCAAGTCATACGGCCTCAGACAGATGGCGTCTTTTTGCCGAATATTTACTGAGCCAAGCAACGCGGACTTCTGAAGTAACTGACTACGAGGCCTTATTCCGATTTTCTTAATACAGGCGGTATAGACACCAACTCTCCAATGATAACTAGAACAATAGAGGCCTTGACGTCCCATATTCTGACCACCTCAATCCGACACTCAGTGTCTTTTAAGCTTTTCAATTTCTTTGATAACCTCCTCTGGTTTGTGGCTGCACCATTCCTCTTCGACTTCATATTGTCGACATGGGCAACACTGCAGATGAGAAGCCATTTTTCATGGCAACGCTTGTTTGTTTGTTTTCCTGAGCAAGCAATAAACAAACGTTAATTATGGGAGTGATATTTTCCACCTCCATAATACGTAGCGTACACTTGTGCCAATCCACTTGGTGTTCGATGTTTTTCCCGGCAAAATTAGTATTCGGGGCTTGGTCTTTGGCAGCTACCAGTAGCCTTTCACTCTCGCCTTTCAACCAATCCCACGAATTTGTTGTCTTAATGGCTTTGGTGCGCCTCGCAAATTATCCATTAATTATTATTATTATTATTATTATTATTATTATTATTGCAACGTAAATTGTAGGTATCACCTAACATGAGAATTTGTTCAAATATATATATATATATATATATATATATATATATATATATATACTGCCTCTCCTTATCTTAGATCACGGGTAATGACTCGGAAAGGGATTGCATTAAACTGAAAGCATAATTTTCTAATAATAATAATAATAATAGCTTCTGATCTTCACTGGAAGTTTTAACATCTATACGTTTTATCTTGATGAACTAAAATGAGTAACAGTAAATTAGTGTTTACTGAGGGAATTAGAAAAATTGTCAGATTATTGGCGACCGAAATCTTAATAACACCAGATATGCAGTGTTGATAGCGGAGACAGAAAGGGAATTGCATGAATGTATGCCGAATGTAATAAAGGAAAGTGAGAAGAAAGGAATAAACATGAATGACAAGAAGTCACAGAATGGAGGGTTTTCAGCAACAACAACAAAACAACAGCTCAACATGTGAAATAGGAATTGGAGATACGAAAATCAAAAATTTAAATATCTACGAAGCGTTTTAATGGAGGCATAAAAAAAACACGCTTATACTTAACATCGGAAAGAGACAGTTAAAATTTCTAGATCACTAATAAGGAAAGACGGCTTGGAAGTTTTGACACTCACAGGACACATTAAAGGCAAGAGAGAGAAAGGAAAGCAGTAACGAGTCTGTATAAAATATTTCTAGATCAGGGATCAAGAGAGACAGCGAAAAGACAAACTTTATTACAAAAGCCAGGAGATTATGGAGAGTCGTGATAACACACGCCATGAAAGGCACGGCACAAAGAAGAAGAGGAGGAGGAGGAGTAAATATCGCATTCATTACCACAGATTTACTTGTTAGTTGCCCGACTATAACCTGTGGCAAATGTCACTTAAGGGTTGACACTTTTTTCTTGTATAGACATCGGCAATTCTTATGGTATTAAAAAGATATTTTTAGAATCTGTCTATATTTCTGAGATGTGGTATTATGTACATTATTTACATTATCCGGACTATTGCCCTCATCTTTGTCGCCATATTTATTACAACGTTTCGGCCGTTGTACGCTCCGGCCTTCTTCCGGCGGTTGGAATGTCGAACTGAACCCTTTATTTCGCTCGCTGGGGTAGACTGTTCCAGTTCCACGTGCCATGTCTAATGGATGTCAGTTATCAGTTATCTGCCTTAACCAAGTATTGAACTCACAACTCTTTGGGTCCTATCACTGGATCTAACCAACGCCTTTATCCACTGTGTCATGTGTCCCAAATGAAATATTTGTAGAATTATAATACAATACACTGGACCTGAGCTCAAATATAGGTATTATTTTGGGGTTTTAATTAATAAAATAGTTTTGGTGAAAATGATGATTATTATGATATTTAAAAGAAATAAAAATTTCGATAAAGTTCAACATTTCGTAACCGAAAAAAAAAAACGGTGTGTCAAAACAAGATACTGTTTTTCTTTTGAAACCGCTATAAACTCTTATAAATTCTTATAAATTCTTATAAACTCTTATAAATTCTTATAAATTCTTATAAACTCTTATAAATTCTTATAAATTCTTATAAATTCTTATAAACCGCTATAAACTGCATATTCTCTGAGCAATTCTTATGGTTTTAAAAAGATATTTTTAGAATTACAATAAAACCCAAGCATATGAAACAGGATATATACATTTTCTTTTTTCTTGAGAATTGACAGCATAAATTATTAAACATTATACTTTTATATGAAGATTCTAATAAATAAATAGTTTTTAACATTTTTTTTGTTGTTGTTGTTAATCTTCAAGAACAAAAAAAAGGTACCACCAAAATAGATACTTATTTCCGAAATGATAGTAAAAACAATCGACACCTTTATTTTAAAATGTATAAAATAATCAGGGAACTATTCGGTTCAAAAGAAATTTTCAGAACTTATTCTTTAGTGAATGAATACTTTGCAGAATAGAATATCTTATATAAAAATAAAAATGGGGAAATATTTGGTAGGGTTTGTTTCAGACCTTCTTTTCGATATCATAAGCATATTTTTTTTTTTTTTATTTTGGGTGGGGGGAGTGTTCGTCCAAATTTTTTACGGTTGTGTAAAAAGAAATGTCTAAAGATTGCCAAAAAACAATTCAATAATAAAACACAAAAAATTATTTTTTTAGAATTGATGCTTGCATAATTTAATAAAACACGTTATTTTCATTCAGATTCGATAGAAAAAAAATCTAAACTTAATATTTATCTTTAAAAACAGTACTTGCATTACTTGCAGGTATGGTGGAGTAATGGATGTCGAGTTCGAATTACGTCTTTTCGATATCGTAAGCATATTTTTTTTTTAATATGGGGGTGTTCCCCCAATTTTTTTACAGTTGCGTAAAAAGAATCTCTAAAGATGTTACTTTAGTAAAAAGAACATTCATATCCGAAAAAAAAATCGGTGTGTTAAAACAAAGATATATTTTTTCTCTTGAAACCGCGATAAACTGCATACCCCTTTCATACTTCCTCGCCTATCCTTATAGTTTTAAAAAGATATTTGTAGTAAATTCAAACATTTCAAACTGGATTTCTGCATCTTCATTTTCCTCGAGAATTGACAGCAAAACAAGTAAAAATTATTCTGATAAATAAAGAGTCTAATAAATAAATAGCTTTTAACATCTTTGTTGTCACACCTCATGAAAACAGTTAAGCGTTTATTTAAATTTTCTTCTTCTTTTACCCACATACATTTTTTATTAATTTAAGTATAAAAAATGTTTTTGAAGCTATTTCAACCAAAGATGATAATCTTGTGAAAAGTACCCCAAATATCATAACGGCTTGTAAACCTAATTTAAACTTTTCTGTCTTTACGAATGAATTCTTCTGCTACCTACCTCTTTGTCGAAAAGATTCTAGGATATATAAGCTATTATCCTCGGGTGATTCTTTCTTTTGTTAACTCGTTGCAGTAGATGCAATTGACATATTCTAAGTTTCCCCGTCAGTGATATTTAGTGACCAGTAGCACGCAGCAGAATCAGGCCAGAGATAGGACAAGAACAGTGCGGGTTCGTTAAAGACACCGGGACAAGGAACGCGATATTCATGCTCAGAATGTTATGAGAAAGATCTATACAAATACAGAAGTATGTGTACCTGTGTTTTATAGACTACACAAAGGCCTTCCACAATCTACGCCACAAGGATCAGCAACCTTGATATATTCGGGAAAGATATTAGAATAATCAAGAACCTATACTGGCAGCAAACAGAATGCATGCGCATAGAGAACGAGTTCAGCGAATATACAAAAATAGAAAGTGGCGTAAGGCAAGGATGTGTCTTCTCACCGGACCTCTACGACGTATTCAGCGAGGCAATTATGAGAGAATTGGAAATCCTACAGGGATTCAGCATTGGCAGCCACAATCTTAACAATATAACAAATATAGATGACACAGTACTGATAGAAGACACGGAACAGAAATTACAAAACCTTCTACAGAATGTGGCGAAGGAGAGCGAGAAGAAGGGACTAAGCATAAATTACGAGAAGACAGAATGCATTGTCATCAGTAAAAGGATGAACCCGAAATGTGATTTTAGTGTCTGAGACACTAAAATCAAGCAGGTGCGAAAGTTTAAATATCTGAGAAGTGTTTTGACAGAGGACGTTAAGTGCGACACTGAGATCGCATTCCAAAAACTGGGCAGAGTATTGCAAGACAGGAGGGTTTCTTTGGTAACAAAAAAAAGAGTGCTAAGCTGTTACGGGACACCTGTCTTCCTTTACGGCAGCGAATGTTGGACGGTCTCCTCAAAGATGAAGAAGAGACTCAAGGCGACGGAGATGTGGTTTTACAGAAGGATGTTGAAGATATCATGAACCGAGCGTGTGAGCAACGATGAGGTTTTGGAGAGAATGCAAACAAGGAGGAGGCTTATACTTAACATCAGGAAGAGGCAGATGAAATTTCTGGGACACGTGATGAGAAAGGAGGGCCTGGAGACTCTGATACTCGCAGGTCGAATAGAGGAAAAAAGAGATAAGGGAAAGCAATGCATGACAAATCTTAAGCAAGTGGATGACAGAACGTGGTCTAGGGTGGGACGTTGGCAGAGGAACGAAACTTATTGAGAGCTACAATGGATAGGGTGAAGTGGAGAGCCATGATCGCCTACGTCCTGGAAGGACACGGCACATAAAAAGCAAAGAAAAATGAACGACATACTAATACAGGAAGGATCTTATTGATGCAACATACAATACACGATGAGAACTGCAAAGTATAAGACGTTTTAATGATGATTAATGACAGCACAAGACATAATCTTTTACATTTGACATTACGTCTTATTCACTCCAACATTTTAGTCAGTTGCTTTCGACCAATCTTTGCGTGAGTGGGCCCACGTCCAAAACGTAAACCCTATGTTATTGTCTACGATGTCTGAAAGACTTTCTAGCGCCTTTCTTGGTAGCTGCTTATCTCTCTCTCTCTCTCCCTCTTTACACATCTCTCTCTCTCTCTTTCTCTCTTCATATAGGCTTACGGCCATATAGCGTTGAAACACCGGTTCCTGTACGATCTCCAAAGTTAAGCATCGTCGAGCTTGGTCAGTACCTAGATGGGTGACTGCTTAGGAATACCAGGTGCTGCAAGCTTGGATGTGCAGGTGGTGTAATGAATAAGCCGGAGTTCCGATTTCATTTTGGTTAGTTATATTCACTGATGCTCAAATACCTTTGAGAAAGGTACGAATCCACCATCTTCTTCCCCAGCTATGGCGGAGAATATGGTGGATTCTTAATTAGTAGTATCGGTAAATCATTATCATCTCAAAAAAAAAAAAAAAAAAAAATGAAGAAAATTCTTACAATTAAAAAATATTTTATGGCTTTAAATAACCTGCAATGGGTTGATAAACCGCAGAAAATGAAGCGATCAATCTTTCACATAACTAGTTTCCATGTTTGTAAAATCGGGTGCAGCTCTGGGGTCATGCCATTATGCATTCGGCGTCTGCGAATTTTGTTATCACGTAGTACTACACCTTTGGTAGGTGTCGAATGGTTTGGTATTACCCCAAAAACAATAGTGCAAGAAAATTAATAAATGCCAACGTGATGAGAAAAATAAATTGCGTATCTACTGTTTCACTTATTACCAAATATATTTATCACAACGTTTCGGCCGTTGTACGCTCCGGCCTTCTTCAGGTGGTTGGAATGGCGAACTGAACCCTTTATTTCGCTCACTGGGGTAGACTGTTCTAGTTCCACATGCCATGTTTAATGGATGTCAGTTATCAGTTATCTTCTGTTAATTTTTCCTCTGAAAGTTCTCCACTGCCTTAACCGGGTATTGAACTCACACTCGTTGGGTCCTGTGAGTGGCTCTAACTAACGCCTTTATCCACTATGCTATGTGTCCTTGGGGACACATGGCACAGTGGATAAAGGCGTTAGTTAGACATTCCAAACAACTGAAGAAGGGCGGAACGTACAACGGCTGAAACGTTGTAATAAATATGGCGACAAAGATGAGGACAATAGTCTGAATAATGTAAATAATGTACATAATACATCAACTCAGAAATATAGACACATAAAGAAGAATCCAATTTTGTTTTGATTCTAACAGGCGTCACTTCCAACATTCTTGACAATTTTCATTGATATTCTCCTCTAGTATTCTATATTGAAACATGTGTGCTTATAAAAATATAAGTTCGTGGTAACTTTCCGAATACCCTGTATATAAACTCAGCTGTACATAAGCGCTTCCTAAGATCAATAGTGCAAAAAAGGCTTTGACCGACTTTGGAAAACATCATCCTTCTTTGTACATTATAAAATGGTGTCACAAAAGACTGAACCAAATAACAGAAACTGCATAACTTGAAGACTGCCAACAGCAGCAACAACTAAAATGGATAGTACATGTAACACGGAGAGAAAATATGAGATGTTAACATTCTATACTAAAAGATTAAGAAGGACACTCCACATTCCACCCAATCAATACTGGAAAGAGTGATAACAGCTACTGGACATGAAAAACCTGATTTCCTGAAAAATATGTTTTATGAGAAAGATTTTATAAATTTCAACCGAAAGCAGTACTGGCTGTTCGGTCAATGAATGCCAAATGTTTCCTTGGAAGGAAGCGGCTAATATTGCCATTACCATTACGATCTCTACAAGAGCAGATTAGACCAAAAATGAACAATTGCTGATACATCTGGGCTGGAGCTGTCCAAAGCACACTTTCTAATCATGACCAATTTCAGAAGTTTTTGCGCCGCCTTGTTGGTGATTGTTTTTCCACACTATGACCCCTTTCCCACAGACGGTACATTGCTAGCTCTTCGCTACTCAATCGCTATTTCCATGGAGGTTGTTCGGGCGAACTATATTCCTTGTTTTCACCAGTTAAATCCTTCACAAGTTGAACCCGTCAGCCAATTCATCCTTCAATCCGTTCGTATTCCATTGCTATGGAGGAAGTTCCACTTAAACAGCTTCTTCCCTAGAAACGCTGCAATGTGAAACGAACTTCGGAGATTATGATTACACAATCACTAAAATCCTAACCTATTCATCCTACATCTCGTCTGCAGTCGCTCTCTCACAGACGTGCCGTCGCCTCCCCCTGTCTTTTTTACAAATACTTTCACGGTAACTGCTCCGATGAGCTGCTTTCGCTGGTTCCCAGACTTCATGAATTTAAGCGTTCAACTAGGCTGGCATCTCGCTCTCACCCTTTCACTGTCAAAATTGTTAAATGTAGCCGTCTCTTCTACTCCAATAGCTTCATGTCTCGCCTGTGGAACTCCCTCCCCATTTTCTTGTTTCCCTGATAGCTATAATCTCCAACTATTCAAATGTAATGTCAATCAACATCTCCAGATGCCCTGATCTATCCCCTATTCTCTTCATCCTTTCCTCTATCACTCCTCTTTGCTCTCACAGCAACTCTCTGTAACCCCTTGCGTGCTAGTGGCTTCCCGCCTTGCTTACGGTGAAACGCTTTAAAAATATCCTTATAGCATGCCATTCTTGCTTTCTCTTTATACACCCTTAAAACATACGCATTTACTAAAGCTCTACCTTGAGTGACACTCAGGCCTTGTATTGAATGAACAATATTAAAAAGAAATTGCTATGCATTTGTTTTATGTTTCTTATCAAAAATGCTATTACTTAGTCATACAAAATAATAAAAAAAATAAATGATTAATAAAATATTTAGATAATTATAAATCATAGTCCTCCGCCGGTCATCAATGAAGCATGGATTTGATCCCACCCATCTGTAAGGTAGGATCAAAATTTGGTATGAAGGACAAGATGTTGCCCGTGCAGCATTCCCCCCCCACCACCCTTTGCACGTTACTGATGGAACAGCAAGGTCATTAGAGTTTGGCACTAGCGCCGTCGCAGAAGCTGATAGAAATCAGCGACGAACTCCGGATTTCTAGCTGTATAGCATGTGCTACATACGTTTTTAAATTCAGAATTACTTTTTTCTAGTCCGGTTACCATCAAAAACTTCGTCCTGAATGCAGAAAAATGACATTCCGGAAGGTAAAGCTATTTTCGGTTGTCACCTGTGGATGAGCTGAGTTGTTTCTAGCAGAAGAAATAAATGGAAAAACGAAGTGAGACCTCTGAGTAGAACTCTGTTCTGAAGAAGAAAATTTTCTTCAAATTCCCAGTGACTCAAGTGAATTTGCTAAAGCATTTTTCTGTTTTTCGTCTTCCCATTACGTGGGTGCACATTTTTTTTTAAAGAGCATTTTCAACCTTATCTAAACTTTTTGTATTATCTTCTCACGTTTTCTTTGTTTTTTTTTTTTTTGCATTATTTGAAGATTGTATATTTTTAAGAGACTATAATGCTTATTTTGATACGTTACCTGCCTTTACTAAAAAAAAAGGCGCACAAAATGAATTACAAGACATTAAAATAAAATAACAAAAATAAAATAACAAAAATAAAATAACAAAAATAAAATAACAAAATACAATGCAATAAATGTTCGTTCCTTTCTAATTTCAAATACTAGTTTTGAACCTTGTTTCTTTTTGTATGCACCATTTTAATATTCGGGATAAATGAGATGACGTCGTTCTCTCTTCCTGTACGCATTTTAGGGAAAATTCCTTTTGCTCTTCTTAGTTTTATGTTGATGAAATTGCATTTTCAAATTCTTTACTCTAAAAGAAATTCAACATCTTTTCCGCTGTAGTTTTTTTTTTTTTTTTTTTTTTTACGCAACATAAATGAAAGCACTTTTAATGACTACTTCGAATATCATTTACTATTTAATGAGCAAATAACTTGAAATGAGATATCAAATGACAAAATCCGTCCGGTTGGTTTTGCTGTGAAACACACATCTCGTCAGGAAAGGTTTTCTATTTAAGCCTTGGCCCATCTAGTAGAAACGTTGATTCTTTGAAAGAACGACATTTTTACGAATCCATTTTGCTCAATAAACTATACTAATTCATGAATGACTTACAATCCACACCAACCAAACTGAATTTATCGCCTAAAAAGGACCCAAATTATCTTACAATTTATTACTATTTTTTTTTTCGACTCTTTTTTTGTTTCTTTTATGTTCTTTAAATCTCGCAGTAGTAATAGATGTAAAATGCCTAAATTTCTTCGATGAAAGATTGCCTTGTTCAATTTGAGTAATTTTTATTTGAATGTATTTATTTATTTGATTGTTTACACCAAGTTGGACTGATGAGAATAATCGGAGAATATACCAAAAAATTATTAGTTAGTAATATGAAATATTTCAAGATAATAATGAATAAAAATCTGTAAATAAAAGAAATAAATAAATGGCAAACATTGACTTTCGTGCCCACAAAATAAAGGAGTATCAAAAGGGCTGTTTCTCTTGAAGCTGCTATTATTTTAACTACCTTCCATCCTCGGCAGTGTTCATTGTTTCAAAAAGCAATGATTAGAATTGTAATAAAACCTAAAAATATGATGAAAGTGAATTCATACATTTTTTATTCTTGAGAATTTATGACAAAGATATTAAACACTATTTATGTAGACATATATAAATATATACTCTTTGTATTTAATTTCCATTCAAAATGATGGCTTTCACTCTCGTAAATTTAAAGTTGAGATCCGTTTGAGCTTCCTTCGAGGATATATAAGAAGATGGCTCAGCGGATAATGCCCAGAAGGGTCTTAGATTTCACATGCGAAAATGGCCGGATGTCTGCTTGGAGGTGGAGAGCGGAAGGGGGGTTGCCGTCCGCATCAAAAAGTCACGCGGAGAACTAAAGGCTGAAAGATTTTCGGTATTCCGCGGAGAGCTAAAGGCTGAAAGATTGTCGGCATTCCGCGGAGAACTAAAGGCTGAAAGGTTTTCGGCATTCCGCGGAGAACTGAAGGCTGAAAGATTTTCGGTAATCCGCGGAGAACTAAAAGCTGAAAGATTTTCGGTATTCCGCGGAGAGCTAAAGGCTGAAAGATTTTCGGCATTCACAAGGACGTCGTCGACGACTACGACGATAACGAAAAGGAAGAAGAAGAAAGAAAACTAAAAGCCGGCCACGCCGACAGCGAAAAGGACTCTGCAAAAAGGTAGAATGAAATGTGAAAGAAATCTCAAAAAT